AGAGAGAGCGAGAGAGACAAACGATCAACCGATTTGATTGTCTTGGGCGCTTCGGGGGTTTGGTTGTTTCTGGACACTCTTGCCCTGGATCCAGATGGCCAATGAACCGTGGCGCTAGACTGCCATGAACACATCTACAAAACCTTACGGAGATCCGCGCGGATTTCTTGGGTCGGCGTTGGCCATCTCCCTCCCTCCCTGCACCCCTCCCCTGGCTCGTGGGGCGCGCTGGGGGCTACGCCAGAGGCGGCGCCATAGAGGTTGTGGGGAGGGGGGGGCGGCGCCGATCCAAGAGATCCCAGCGGATCCTCGAACATCGCTGAACGGTGAATTGTGAAGTGTACGTCGCACTGTACGTTCACATCGCAGAGCGGGGGTGGGGAGGGGGCTGGGAATAGGCGGCGCGCCAGAGGGGGAAAGGAGAAAGGGCGGGCCTTCTCAGAATCCTCGGAAGCCCCCCTGCCTTCTGAGAAGTTTTCTAAGCCTGCCCCGAAAGACGCCAAACACTTCTCAGAAGCTGCGAGGATTTCCGAGAATTCCCGCCGCCTTCTGAGAAGGCCTTTCCCTTCCCATTCCCTCCCCTCGCTCGCCGCCGAGGGAAGGGGCATGCCACTCCTTGCCAAGGGCCCTGCCCCGATCTGTGGCCGCCGCGATCGCCGCGGTCCAGCTGGCTTCCCTGGCAGGGGCCCGGTGCATCGAGGAGGGCGCCCGGCGGCGGGGCCGAGACCGACGGCACGCAGGAGATTTCGACCCCCCGCCCTTTCCCTACCCGCCCCTGTCGCCTGACGCGAGGAGGAGGAGGAGGAGGTGGAGGTGGAGGTGGAGGTGGAGGTGGAGGAGGAGGAGGAGGAGGAGGAGGAGGAGGAGGAGGAGGAGGAGGAGGAGGAGGAGGAGGAGGAGGAGGAGTGTCTCGGATGTATCCTTAGTCAGCGGGTCGTGCACTCGCACCTCAGCCCCTAGGGGGGCGGGGTCTGGCCGATGCGGGTGTCCGCCGCGCAGACTAAAGCTGGGGGATGACGGATAGCCACGATACTGAGGTGCCTAGTGAGGAACACCCGTCGATGTTCCACCTCTTTATCGATTTCGCTGGCCGCCACCCCCTCCTCACCCCATGCCCCAAAGTGATCCTGTCGAATCGGGGCTCCTACGGGGTGGCATCCCATATTGGGGGAGCGAACTTGCCGCAGCAGTGGTCCGCAATTTGACTCCTGGCGTGCACTGCCCAGCGGTTCCCCTTCCGGGGAAGAAGCGGATCCCAAGGTGGGCCCGATTGCTTCCCCGCCGCTGAATTCAGGGGCTCTTGCACTTAGTGCAGGGACACTGGCAGGTCGGGCAAACGCTGGGAGCTTCAGCCCCAGCGTAGGTGTGGCAAAGCGGCAGGGGCCCCAGCCCATACAGGCAGCCTGCGATGCTTGCGTGCTGAGTGCCACTTCGGGGGGGACCCCCTGTGAAGATGGCTGCCTCCCTGCACATACTAGCACCTGTGCCGCGCGATAGCGGCACAAACGGGGCGTCGCCCCATCGGGGTGACTTCCCCTTGCGAGGTTGGATGCCGTGAGCGTTCCACTCGCATGTTGATGCCAGTGGCCCGCGTAACGGTCTGGGCGGCCGTAGTTTTTAGCAAGGCCGCGAAAGCGACATGAAGCAGGATGCCACAACAAAGTGTGGCTCTTTTTCCTCTGCTTGGTCAGGGCAGCAGGACGAGTGGCAGCAGACGCATGGTAGAGTTAGCGTCTTGCGAGCATTGTTTACATCGCACGTGCACGCATCGTTACACTCGCTCGGAATCTCTCGAAACTCACCCCTTCTACAGTCACACAGTATGGTTGGCTTGCTGATCCGGTCGAATCAGCGGGCTAGGGGCTACCGCGAACTTGCTATGCAGTGGTCCGTAGTCCCTGGCCCTAACAGCCTTGCTGCGCGGGTAACTCTTGTGGGGCCGAAGCCCCAGCTCTAGGAGACGCCATGTCTCTGCACGTACAACAAACATCATGGATACATCCCGTACCAAACGATCGTGCGACTCTCATGCAGCAGTCTCTGGCTCACGAGGGCCCTGGATTTTGGCTCAAATCGGGCACCAGGGATTCAGGCTCCAATCGGGCACCCTGGATTTTGGCTCCAATCGGGCACCTGGGAGCGCTCAAAATAAAACCCCGCCCTGAGCCTCCGTAGGGCGGGGTTTCGGAGGATGGAGTTAAGGGCCAAGGCCCCGCGGGTGGAGGGCCACCCTGTTCTGTATGGCTGGCTTGCTGATCCAGTCGAATCAGCGGGTCAGGGGCTACCGCGAACTTGCTGCGCAGTGGTCCGTAGTCCCTGGCCCTACCAGCCTTGCTGCGCGGGTAACGCATGCGGGGCCGAAGCCCCAGCTGTAAGGGTCGACGCCGGAGGGGTGAAGCCCCAGTGTGGGGGGTCCTAGAAGTTTCCGACACCGTCGGAAACCTACCCCCGAGGAGGTTTCCGACACCGTCGGGAACCTACTTCCATAGCGGCCCGAAGGGGAGAAATGTAACATGCGCTTCATGCACATCTCACCCCGAGAGGGGCAAACGTTTACTTTGACATTATGGGGCTGTACCACCCCAGAAAAGGCACGTTGTTGATGCTGGGGTGCTCACCTCACTGGGGTGGCCGTGGAACGCGCCAAGAATTGATTAATACACCCTCTGGCCTGCGAGCCAGGGCCCTACAGTTGTACATCGTAATCCCACTAGCTTGGTTTCTACCTACATGGCTGGCTTGCTGATCCGGTCGAATCAGCGGGCCAGGGGCTACCGCGAACTTGCTGCGCAGTGGTCCGTAGTCCCTGGTCCTAACAGCCTTGCTGCGCGGGTAACTCTTGTGGGGCCGAAGCCCCAGCTCTAGGAGACGCCATGTCTCTGCACGTACAACAAACATCATGGATACATCCCGTACGAATCGATCGTGCGACTCTCATGCAGCAATCTCTGGCCTTCTACAATCACGCAATATGGTTGGCTTGCTGATCCGGTCGAATCAGCGGGCCAGGGGCTACCGCGAACTTGCTATGCAATGGTCCGTAGTCCCTGGCCCTAACAGCCTTGCTGCGCGGGTAACTCTTGTGGGGCCGAAGCCCCAGCTCTAGGAGACGTCATGTCTCTGCGCGTACAACAAACATCATGGATACCTCCCGTACGAAACGATCGTACGACTCTCATGCAGCAATCTCTGGCTCACGAGGGCCCTGGATTTTGGTTCAAATCGGGCACCCCAGATTTAGGCTGCAATCGGGCACCCAAGATTTTGGCTCCAATCGGGCACCTGGGAGCGCTCAAAATAAAACCCCGCGCGGGGTTTCGGAGGATGGAGTTAAGGGCCAAAGCCCCGCGAGTGGAGGGCCACCCTGTTCTGTATGGCTGGCTTGCTGATCCAATCGAATCAGCGGGTCAGGGGCTACCGCGAACTTGCTATGCAGTGGTCCGTAGTCCCTGGCCCTAACAGCCCTGCTTCTTGCAAGCTGACCTGCCTAGGGTATTGGGGACACGGTGCACAGTGACCCCACTGCATGCGTGATGACGCGTTTCGTGCAAAAGCAAGCCGAATTAAGCCTTTGTCGCCCCGACCCCCACTCCCTGGTCCTCGTGGTCGGGGTGCTCATCGGAACCCAGCTGGGGCCCTTAAAAGCTGCCCCGTGCGCCCCCGACCACACCGAGAACCAAGGCGGCTGGGGGGTCATCGGCACGGGGAGGAGGCGGAGGAGGAGGAGGAGGAGGAGGAGGAGGAGGAGGAGGAGGATGAGGAAGAGGAGGAGGAGGAGGAGGAGGAGGAGGAGGAGGAGGAGGGAGGAGGAGGAGGAGGAGGAGGAGGAGGAGGACCCCCATCTGGGAGGCCTGGACCATCCCAAGCCGATTCAGAGGTCTGGTACGGGGTCGGATCTCACGCAGCGACGCGCGCCTCGGACGTGCTCGCCTGTGTCCCTTCGGCCCTGCAGGTCCAAAGCGCGTCGGCCGTGAACGCCGCGCGGCCGTAGCCGCCCCGCCTGCCGGGGAGCGCGCGGCCCGTCCCCTGGGCCCGCGCAGGTGCCCCCACCCAGGGCTCCCCGCTCGCGCCAATATGGCTGCGTCCCCTCGTCCTGATCCTCGGGAATCTCCTGGAGGCCGTCGTCATCGCCAGCCCGATCCTCATCGTACGCCTCCACTGATTATTTTTCTCCTTCTTCTTCTTCTTCAGTCGTCGCGATGAGGAAGAGGGAATAAGAGGATGGGGAGCATGGCGAGACAGAGGAGGAGGAGGAGGAGGAGGAGGAGGAGGAGGAGGAGGAGGAGGAGGAGGAGGAAAAGGAGGAGGCGGAGGAGGAGGAGGAGGAGGAGGAGGAGGAGGAGGAGAGGAGGAGCCGGAGTATGAGCCACGATGAGGAGGCGGAAGAAAACACGAGGGATCGGGGAGGGGAGAGGAAGCAGGAGGCAGGAATATTGAGGAAAAACCGGGGGTGACGAGGACACGGAATAACCTGACCATGAGAGGGAGGGAGAGGTTGAGGATTAGGGTCATAATTCTTATGATGAGCAGAAGGAGTAATAAGGGAATTAAGAGCATAACCTCCAGGATGAGTTTTCTCAAAGTGTGGACCACATAAAGCGCACCGCCGCCTATCCCGCCGTCGACCTGGACCCCACCCCGCGGGAGTTCTTGGGCCCCCCCGATCGACAATTTCTCGCCCGACAACGCCCCGGCGCCTACCCAGCCGTCGACCTGGTCCACAATCCCCACCCCACGGGAGCGGCGTTCTTGGAAACATCTACCCGACAATTTTTCGCACGAAAACGCCCCGCCACCGAACCCCCGCCCACTCCGCAATCCCTACACCGCAGGAGCTCTGTTCTTGGGGCCCCCACTCGACAATTTCCTGTCCTAAAACGCCCCGCCGCCTACCTCGCCATCGACTTGGTCCACGATCCCCACCCCACGGGAGCTCTGTTCTTGGGACACCCCACTCGACAATTTCTCGCCCAACAACGCCCCGTCGCCTACCCCGCCGTCGTCCTGGTCCACAATCCCCACCCCACGGGGGGCCTGTTCTTGGGAGTTCCCACTGGACAATTTCTCGACCGACAACGGCCCGCCGCCTACCTCACCGTCGACCTGGGCCGCAATCCCGCCGCTTACCCCGCCGTCGACCTGGTCCCCGATCCCCGGCGTGTGAGATTCTTCCCCCTCCCCAAACCCTTCCCCCGGGGCCCGGTCTAGTCGATTTGGAGGAGGGGAGTCCCTCGGGGACCGCCCGAACGCGTCTGGGGGGGACAGAAGGCTCCAAAACATGCCACGGGGGCCCCACGAGGCCTTCCGAACGGTCCAAGAAGGCCACGAGCCGCCATAAGATCGATCCAACGTGCTCACGCTGGCCTCCACACGGCCCAAGAAGCCCCCAAGACGCTCCAAGGAGCCCCCAAGAGGCGCCCCCAGACGCCCTCCAAGAGCAACATCGTCCCATTCCTATGAGGAACCATTCATTCCTAACCCATTCCCCAACACGGCCAAAGAGGCCCCCCCAAAAGGCTCCCAGACGACCCAAGAGCGCCCCAAGACCTCTCAAGAAACCCCCATGACGGGCCAGGGGGACCCAGGACAGCCCCAAAAAGGAGCCCACAGGGGGACTCCGAACGGACATGTCGAGCCTTCGGCCCCAAAGCACTCCCCAGTTGCCCCGATAAGCCCCGAACAGGCCCCCAAACAACCAAACGGCTCCCGGGAGGCCCCCAAGAGGAGCACAAACTGCCTCTCAAACACCTGCGAGACGCCTTCTACGAGACATCATTTGCCATCCGCGTGGCCTCCGACCCGCGGCCCAGGCACGGCAGCGGGTTTCGACGTCCAGAACCGCCCCGATCCCCCAACCACGTCTGACATCCCCCCTCGTCCTCTCCCAAGAGAACCCCTGGCCTTGGGGCGATCTGGGAGGCCACTTGAAAAGTCGAACCAAACACACATAGTTACAACTGGGCATGCAAACTCTTCTGGGGTCGGCGGCAGAGGCGGCAGCCTTTAGATCCGGCTGCTCCCGCCCTGCGGTGTGGGCCGTGCGAGACCTCTCTGACAGAGTGTCTGGCACAGTCTTTGGCCCCCTTCTCCAGTGCCTGGTCAAAAACGTCCTGAAAGTCCCTCCGAGGGGGCCCCACTCTGCCGCCGCCGCCCCCCCCCCCCCTCAAGGTCCCAAACGGCCCGGGGACGACCCAAGGGCGCCCCAAGCCGGTCCAAGAGAGTCCCGAGACGGTCCAAGAGAGCCTCCAGACGGTTCCAGATCGCTCCAAGACGCCCAAGATGGCCTCCAGACGGCCCAAGACGCCTCCAAGACGGCCCAAGAGGGCTCCAAGAGCACCCCCAAGACAGCCCCGAAAAGCAACAATCATTGATTTTTCAATGGTTTTTGAAGGATTTTCACGTTCACGCCATTTCGGCTTACCCACGCTCCACGACGGCCCAAGAGGCCCCCAAGATCGCCCCAGGACGGCCCAACAGGCCCCCAAGACGGCCCCAAGACGGCCCAAGAGGGCCCCAAGACCGCCCAAGAGGCCCCTGGGACGGCCCAAGAGGGGCCCCAGGATGGCCCCAAGAGGAGGCCCAGAAGGGGAACCCGAATGAAAATTTCGAGCTTTCGGCTCAAGAGGCCCCTAGGAGGCCCTAGGAGGCCCCCGGGAGGCCCCCAAGAGGCCCCAAGAGAGCCCGAAGAGGCCCCAAGAGGGCCCCAAAAGGTCTCCACGAAGCCCCCAGGAGGCCCCCAAGAGGCCCCGAAACTCCCCCGCAGAGGCCCCCGAGAGCCCTCTCGCGAGACCCTAAGAAGCGTCCATGAGGACTCCGACCCAAAACCCACGCGTCACGACTTTCGATGCTGCGCGCCACTTCGGTAAACTCCCAGGGAGCGGCCGGTGATGCGCCGCCAGCGTCCTCGATACTCTTAGTAGACGCCTAACTAAAAATAACTTACCCCCCTCAAGGTCTCAAACGGCCCGGGGACGACCCAAGGGCGCCCCAAGCCGGTCCAAGAGAGTCCCGAGCAATCCAAGAGAGCCTCCACACGGTTCCAGATCGCTCCAAGACGCCCCAGATGGCCTCCAGACGGCCCAAGACGCATCCAAGACGGCTCCAAGAGCACCCCCAAGACAGCCCCGAGAAGCAAAAATCATTGATTTTCAATGGTTTTTGAAGGATTTTCACGTTCACGCCATTTCGGCTTACCCACGCTCCACGACGGCCCAAGAGGCCCCAAGATCGCCCCAGGACGGCCCAACAGGCCCCTAAGACGGCCCCAAGACGGCCCAAGAGGGCCCCAAGACCGCCCAAGAGGCCCCTGGGACGGCCCAAGAGGGGCCCCAGGATGGCCCCAAGAGGAGGCCCAGAAGGGGAACCCGAATGAACATTTCGAGCTTTCGGCTCAAGAGGCCCCCAGGAGGCCCTAAGAGGCCCCCCCCAAGAGGCCCCAAGAGGGCCCCAAGAGGTCTCCAAGAAGCCCCTGGGACACCCCCAACCCTACACTGCCCCGCAGAAGCCCCCGAGAGCTGTCCGAAGAGACTCCTGCAATCGTCCATGAGGACTCTGAGCCACAACCCAGGCAAGGTGGCGGGATCCTTCCCAGACGCCGAAGATGGCCTCTAGAGGCCCTCGCGCGCCTTCAGCAGTTCCCAAGAAGCTTCCAGGAGGCTCCCCAGAGGCTCCTAAAATGCCCCGCAGAGGCTCCCGAGAGCTGTCCGAAGAGACTCCTACAAGCGTCTATGAGGACTCTGACCCACAACCCAGGCAAGGTGGCGGGATCACTCCAAGACGCCGATGACGGCCTCTAGAGGCCCTTACGCGCCTTCAAGACGTCCCAAAAGCCTCAGAGGACCCTCAGAGCTCTCCGAAGAGACTCCTACAAGCGTCCATGAGGACCGCGCCCCACAACTCAGGCAAGGTGGCGGGATCACTCCCAGACGCCGAAGATGGCCTCTAGAGGACCTCACGCGTCTTCAAGACGTCCCAACGATCCTCCAAGAGCATCACCCAGCAGCCCCAACAGGTCCGCATGACGCCCTCAAGAGGCTCCAAAACACAAGACCCTTAAAGCCCTCCGAGGAAATTCCAAGAAACGCCCATCGGGACTCTGACTCACAACCCAAGCGCGGCGGCGGGATGGGCCGAAGGCCAAAAAGGCTCCGGGAAACCCTTAGAGGCCGCCGCAAGGGTTTCAGGCGGTCTCCACAGGCACCGAAGCACCCCCAAGACAACTCCAAGAGGCCCCGGAGAGGCTCCCAGGGACCCCCCACGAGTTACCAGACTGCGCCGCAGAGGCTCCCGACAGCCCTCTAACACCCCCCCAAAACCGTCCATGAGGACTCCGACCACAGACCCAGACATGGTGGCGGGATCGCTCCAAGACGCTCCGGATGGCCTCTGCAGAGCCTCAGGCTTAGACGCCTCCAACACGCCCCAATAAGCTCCCAAGAGCACTTCCCAAGAGACCCGCGAAAGACCCCCATTCCCGAGCGACCCCAACTTCAGAAAATTGGTCTCCAACATTTACTGGGGAGCCTCCAACAATACCTCTCGGACTGCCCCAAGCCGACGATACTCGCAGGAATGCCCCGTGAAGCAGAACTCAGCGCTTTCCCATAATGGTTCTCAGGGTTTCTGTCGACTGTGCGCATCCAGCTTACCGTCGCCCCGAAACGGCCTCGTGGGCCCAGAGGACCGCCTCAACCAAGACTCAGAAGTCCACGCCTCCGGGACGGCCCGATGCGCCCGAAGGGCGTGTTGACAGCGCTTCTGCGTTCTCCATGGCGCACCGCCTCGCCAAGATGCCTGGCTTCCTACATCGTTATGGCCCCACGGTTTCCAGCATGTTTCGCGTCAAGAATCACATGCAATGGAGGCTGGCAGCAACGAGGGGCCAGGTGAACGAGAATCGGGGCGTTCTTCACGTAGCATTCGGCGTTCACGCGCGCAGACCGCAACGATTGCGACGACAGCGGTTGGAGCAGCATTGCCAGCGGCAGCAAAAGCAGTCGT